GGGGAGGGGTGGCTATACTAGAAGAAAAGCTCTGGTTTCTTTTGGCTCATCCAGTGTTTCTCAACCTTGACAATTTTAAGGCATGTGGACTTCAACTCCCAGAATTCCACAGCCAGCAATGCTGGCTGTGCAATTCTGGGAGTTGAAGTCCACATGCCTTAAAATTGTCAAGGTTGAGAAACACTGCAAAGGGAGGATATTGTTTCATATTGAAGGGGTTAGATCAGTGGTTCTCAACCTGTGGGTCGGGACCCCATTTGGGGTCGATCGACCATTTCACGGGGGTCGCCAAGCAAGGCTGTCCGCCTTTTTTTTTGTCCGCCATTTTTTTTCCCCTTTTCCGGTGGGTGCCTTACCTCCCTTGGGCTGGGCCAGCTGATGGTCGGCCTGCTCTGTCTCTGCCGCTTGCCAGCTACGCCTCGGCCGGCGCAGGGGGCGGAACCACGCATGCGCGGTGCTCCCGGGCAGGGAAAGTCCTCGACTTACGACCGGTTTAGTCCTCGACTTACGACCGGTTTAGTCCTCGACTTACGACCGGTTTAGTCCTCGACTTACGACCGGTTGGGGTCACGGCATTAAAAAGGTTGAGAACCACTGGGTTAGATAAAGTTAGGTTTGTTGTTGCCTGTGGCCTGCCACATTTTCTATCCTGCAGAGAACTTAGCTTTGTTCTCCAAAGCTAAATAATTTAATGGGAAACAGAAAGTGAAACAAAGACACTTGGTGAAGCTTTTCTGTCTGGCAAGAACTTTTAATTTTTCCAGTACTGTTATCTTATAAAAATGCTGTTTGCTCATGTTTTAAGCTTAATGTATAACGTTTTACTTTTAGTTATAAGCATCCTTGAAATGGAAGGAGGGTAGGTTCCTAATCAAATAATGAAAGTGATGTGAGGTCCAGAAATGAGGACAACTTAGTTCATTTGTGGTGGGACAAGCCTAAACAATTCATAGAAAGGATTGGTAGAAAAGAATTAGTTGACTGAAAGAGATTAGAAAAGAGACTATAGTTACAAAGTTAAGGAATAGAAATTTCAGATTGAGGAGGCAGTTTGAGAGATTGTTTTTCAAGGAGTTAAAGGTATTAGAGACATCCTATAAATCACTGGACAGAATGTGAATAACCTACAGCAGTTCTGGTAAAAAGTTGGGAGAATTAAAACCTGTAGTTATAGAAAGGGACTTTAAAGAGTAAATATTGAAACACATTTCAAACTTTAAAGAGTCTTAACCTTATTTAATAAGTAAAGCAATAAGAAAAGGTAAATTTGGCTGAGTGAAATAAAATATTTGTGTCTACAGCAAGCAATTAAATTGCTGGATGGAGCAAACAGGTATAGCAAGTGTGTATTTGCAATCCCTTCATTGGCTTATTGTAGGCTGTTTTTTTAGGATTAAAAAAAAACAATTGAGCTATGTTGCTTCAAGGTAATATGATGGGCCTGGATGTAGTTATGGGAAGATGGAATTTTGAATGAAAGACATTTTGGATCAAATCAGTATATTTTTCCTTGCATAGTTGCTTTCTTTACTTAAGAGGTTATACTGGACAGTTTTAGGGAATTAAAGAGAACTACAGACTGCTTATTTTTTTTCTTCAAAATTGTTTTCCTCAATCTCTTTTGAAGAAAAAGCTGGAAGATATATATCAAGCGCAGATAATAAAATTGCTAGGAGAAAATCAGTGAAGTTTTGAAGGGGGAAACAAGGATAAATTAAAATTCAGGAAAATGCTCCTTAATAAGAAAATGCACTAGGATTAACATTCAGCATGTTTGGATGAGAGAAGACTCTCCCTGTATTTATTTGGGAGATCTGAATATGGAGTATGTCTGTCCTTAAAGATAATATACTACCTGCAACCCTTTCTGAATCAATCAGACTTGGCAAACATGCTTAATAACTTTGGTTATTCTCCTGACTGCTGCAACATGTTTGATGAGGAATTGTCCTTGAAAGGTGTCTAAAAGTTGCAATTGGTGACAAATGAGGCAAGTAAGCTACTAAATAATGAGAGATACTGGAGTCACAAATGATTATGTAGAAAGTTGTAAACCAGTTGCTTGTTCCTTACCAAGTACAATTTAAAAATTTGGTGTAAACCTTTGGAGTCCTAAACAGTTTAGTATCTACCGGTAATTACTAAAGGTCTGTCATGATGTAATCTCTCCTGTGAGGTTAGAATGACCAGGAGAGAGGGCTCTTTGAAAGTGTTCCCATTAATAGAGGGAGATATTTCTTGCCTATGGTAAATTGCATTCTTGACATTGTTCCCAGACAGTGGAATGCACTCCTTTAAGAGATGTGTTGGGACCCTATTCTTTCATAATTTAGAAAATTTGTAAAGGTATCTGTCTTTGAAGAGAGATGACTTCATCTTACATTTTTGTTTCTTTTTCTGTTTTTGTATTGTTTTTTTAAAAATTGCCTTGAACATTCACTAGAGTAGAAAGGCATGACATACAACAAGTAAATAATAGTAATGCCCTCTGGTTGGTATAGGTGGCTGCTACAATTCTTTTTTATTGGTAATGCTGGCTGGGACTGATCAGAATTGAGCTCCATGCCATGAGGGGCACCACGGAGGGAGGCACACATAAGGTTTCCTATTCCAGATAGTGCTATTGTAGGAATGGTTTTGTTTGAATATATTTCTGTTACCAGTTAAAACCACTGAGAAACATTGCCATACATGTTAAAGTGCAAATGTTCATATCAGATAATATTTAGCAACAAAACTATACTTTGATTCAACTTTTGTTTTGGATAATTAAAGTTCCAGGTTCAATCTAAGTAGACATCTCCCGTGTAGAATATGGAATGATTCTAGTCTGAA